GCCAAGACTGAGCAGCCCAGCAGCTAGGGATTGTCTAAATAGGTACAGTGCATTCGGAAAGTATTCAGACCCCTTGACTAAAATGTTAAATGTTCCTCATCAATCTACACACAATACCCCATAATGATAAAGTGAAAACAGGTTGTAAATTTGTTTTGCAAATGTATTAAAAATAAAAAACAGAAATACCTTATTGACATAAGTATTCAGACCCTTTCCTATGAGACTTGAAATTGAGCTCAGTTGCATCCTGTTTCCATTCATCATCGTAGAGATGTTTCTACAACTTGATTGGAGTCCACCTGTGATTGGAGTCCACCTAGAGCTGGCCTCTTGGCCAAACTGAGCAATCGAGGGAGAAGGGCTTTGGTCAGGGAGGTGACCAAGAACCCGATGGTCACTCTGACAGAGCTCCAGAGTTCCTCTGTGGAGATGGGAGAACCTTCCAGAAGGACAACCATCTCTGCAGCACTCCACCAATCAGGCCTTTATGGTAGAGTGGGCAGACGGAAGCCACTCCTCAGTAAAAGGCACATGACAGCCCGCTTGGTGTTTGCCAAAAGGCACCTAAAGGACTCTCAGACCATGAGGTACAAGATTCTCTGGTCTGATGAAACCAAGATTGAACTCTTTGGCCTGAATGCCAAGCGTCACATCTGGAGGAAACCTGGCACCATCCTACGGGGAAGCATGGTGCTGGCAGCGTCATGCTGTGGAGATGTTTTTCAGCGGCAGGGACTGGGAGACTAGGCAGGATCAAGGCAAAGATGAACGGAGCAAAGTACAGAGAGATCCTTGAATAAAACCTGTTCAGAGCGCTCAGGAACCTCAGACTGGGGCGAAGGTTCACCTTCCAACAGGACAATGACCCTAAGCACACAGCCAAGACAACGCAGGAGTGGCTTCAGGACAAGTCTCTGAATGTCCTTGAGTGGCCCAGCCAGAGCCCGGACTTGAACCCGATCGAACATCTCTGGAGAGACCTGAAAATAGCTGTGCAGCGATGCTCCCCATCCAACCTGACAGAGCTTGAGAGGATCTGCAGAGAAGAATGGGAGAACCTCTCCAAATACAGGTGTAGCCAAGCTTGTAGCGTCATACCCAAGAAGACTCGAGGCTGTAATCACTGCCAAAGGTGCTTCAACAAAGTACTGAGTAAAGGGTCTGAATACTTATGTAAATGTGATATTTCTGTATTTATTTTATTTATTTTTTCCCCAAAAGTTTCTAAAAACCTGTTTTTGCTTTGTCATTATGGGGTATTGGGTGTAGATTGACTCAGGGGAAAAAACAATGTAATCAATTTTAGAATAAGGCTGTAATGTAACAACGTGGAAAAAGTCAAGGGGGTTGAATACTTTCCGAATGCATTGTATCTACTTCAATTACCTAGTATCCCTGCACATCGACTTGGCTATATACACGGGGTACCAGTACCAAGTTCTTATTACTCATTGTGCATTTGTTCCTCATCTTATTCTTTTTTATATTTTATATTTTTCTCACTGCATTGTTGGGAAGGGCCCGTATGTAAGCATTTCACTGTTAGTTTACACCTGTTGTTTACGAAGCATGTGACAAATACATTTTTATTTTATTGATTTAGATTTATAATTAAGCAATAAGGCCAGAGCGTGTGTGGTATATGTTCAATATACCACGGCTAAGAGCTTTTCTTATGCACAAAGCAATGCCTGGATACAGCCCTTAGCCATGGTATATTGGCCATATACCACAAACCACTGAGGTGTCTTATTGCTATTATAAACTGGTTACCAACGTAATTAGAACAGTAAAAATGATTTTTTTGTCATACCCGTGGTATACGGCCTGATATGTCCACAGCTTTCAGCATTCAGGGCTCGAACCACCCGATTTATAATTATAAATACACTTTTTATACGAGTTTTAAACAAATGTTCTGTATAAATAGCCTCTAAAATATGTAAACAGACCATAAATGTCTCATTTTTTGTTTTCTTGGGATGCTCTGAGTGCTATTATGTATGAAAAATGTATGCACTCACTAAATGTAAGTCGATCTGGATAAGAGCGTCTGCTAAATGACTAAAATGTAAAATGTATTATATGATACAATATAAGTACTTGTTGCATTTACAACTTGTCTAAGTCCTATCATCAACTGATTTCAGCATGGATTGACTACATTGTTGAATGGAATGTTGACATCTACAACTGGAATGGAATGTTGTCCCTACAACTGGCTGATTAGCTAGCTAACAAACATACAGTGCAGATACATTCTTCAAAGTCCTTATTTTACACTATCTTATCACAGCACTGGCAAACCATGGTTGACCAACTCGCTGATCAAAATGGCTGACCTTTATCCCATCCTAAGAAGATTCATGGCCATTCTAGTATTCTAATTCTATGGCATCATGCACCTCTAATGTATGTTTGCGGACTGCCATAATACCATAGAAGAAGAAACTCAGGCATACTAAGAAGCAGGGAGTAAACACAAGGCAATGCTGGTGGGAGACCGTTAGGTCGAGTGGGAAGATGGTTGAAACTGATGTTTTGTTTGAAACTGCTGGCGAGTTGGGTTGAAGATGAGCGCACAGAGAGTGAGAATGAGTTGGTTACAGTGGTGAAAAAGAAAGGAAATGAGAAGTAAAGTTGTGGTGGAAACTAGGAAACCCCTAGACTCGTTTTTTAGTCAGAATGAGGGTTTTGAACCTGGGAGATCCGTTTGAAGTGTCGATTAATGGGTGAAGTGGCATCAGTGAGAGTCATAAGAAGTGGACTTATTTTTATTTTTTGTGTGTCCGAGGAGCAGAAGAGGCGTGCGTTGTGCCTCAAGAAGATATATGAATGGAACGTTTCATGTATGGATCTTCAAAGCAGAGTGCCTATCAAGGGGGTTATCTCTGGGGTGGCGCATAAAGTGCGTGCAGATGTAATACCTGAGGAAGTAGATGGAGTGGTTGGTGCACGTCGTTGACTGACCCTCATGGTAGATGGAGTGAAGAAATTAACTTCATCCATACTTGTTTTCTTTGATGAAGAGTCTCTCCCTTCTCATGTCGGGCTATGTGAGATACCCTGTAAGAGCCTTTGTGCACAAACCCCTTCAGTGCCATAAATGCAAAATATTTGGTATTGTGTCAAGCATACGCAGATGGGAAGAGTATTGAATTGTGGTGGCGAACATGAACCCGAATTTCCGAATTGCCCTGTTGGGTGAAGGAGACAGAGGTGGCAAGAATAAGGGCTGTCCAGCGTGTCTCCTATCTGGAGGCTGTGAGAAGAGTTGAAGGAGCGAGTGGCGTTGAAGATGCAATGGTAATTGAGCCTGCACCAGTGAATGTTTCTCTGTAATCAAGGGATCCTGATATATTACATGTGAAAAAGGTGGACTTTGTAGCATTTATTGCAATGGTCATAAACTGCATAGCACAAACAAAGAAATCAGGAAAAAATTAGAATCATTGTGAGCGCAGCAGAACGCTTTTTGGGACTCAGTGAGTTTACAACCGAAGCATTGCAAGAAATCCTGTCAAAGGATGATCCACCCTCACAGGCCCCTGAGCCTTTGTAGGGATGTGACTTGAATTGAAATGTGACTGAAGGAGTGGGATGTTGTTGTTGTTGTTTGTATGTATATATGTTTTCCTATAGTTTACCATCCATACAGTAGGTGGCGACATGCACCTTTAACACATTTTGGCGGACCACCATAATACCATAGAAGAAGAACTGCGCTGAAGTTCGCAAGATAGCTCACTAGTTGCTAGCGAAAAGGGTCAGTCAACAACAGCACGTTTGAGTAGAGGAGACTGGCCTTCTGTACTGCAACGTTTAAAAACAGATTCATAACAAGGTACTCCAGTAAGTATATGGCCATATCGATGTGTTGACTGTTAAATTATTTCATAACACTAGCTATTGATATGCAAATGTTGTGACCTAGCTATGTACTGTAACTATATATTCCTAGCTTGTCACCAAAATAGCTAGCTAGCAAGTTAGCAATTCAACTGGTGTTTCAAGCATACTTGACTTATTAAAATTAGCTGGAGTTTGGCTGAATCATTAGTAGCTGGGCCTTATAAAAATGTGAACATAATGCAAAGTGGCTAAGTTAGCTACGATAAGCTAACTAGCTACCTAGAAATATGATACAATATCAATGAATTACAAGCCATCTCACTTAGCATAGGTAACTAGCAAGCCCAATTTAAGTGCAGGGTTAATGTTGAATTTAACTTTTTAAGAATCACACTTATCTAGGTAAAATAGGGAAAGTTGTATCTAACTTCTGATCACATGCTTGGTTCGGAAAGTTGTTCAATGTTGACGCTGCTGTCTGCTACCTAACGTTAGTGAATTGCTTTTCGCTCGTTGAAATGTTCTGTCTCAAACAAAGTTCATAAGTGTTGCCCATAGCATTGTTGCTGCACTTTTCAAATATAAAGCCTCAGTGCAGCTGCTTATGAATCCATTCCCTTCTTAAGACAGTTGCACGTGAATAGTTTGGTTTCCCCTTTGAGGCTTGAAAACTAAAATGCTACACGCTTTCACGAAACGGCAGAGATACTAGCTAACCAGTAAAGTAGTTATATAAACAAGTATAACGTACTTGCCCACAGGCATCTTTTTAGCATTATCAAGAACTTGAGAAATCTTAGAATGTATGACGCAACCTCGAATTTTCAATCATCAGACAGGTGAAGTGGTAATAGATTACACATGTCATGTTGTGGAAAGCTTTATTTGATTTGCCTGAAAACAACAGCAGGAGGTATTGTTGTGCAAGAAAGGTGAAAGTGTACTACATAAGCAGATCATGTTAATTTTATTTGCGTAATAATTGATCTTGTACCTCCAGGCTATGACCTTTGTGTATTGCAATGCAGCAGTAATTATTTTATAGTCCTGGAGCAAGTGGCTCCTTGTTGGGGTTAATTTCTGAATTACTCATTTTGGTGTTAGGTTTTCAAAGGAATAATGCATATTCATCAGTAACACTATCCTCATAATCCACTTGTTCACAGAAACAAAATGAATGTTGGTGTAGCGCACAGTGAGGTGAATCCCAACACTCGGGTCATGAACAGTCGAGGGATCTGGCTGACCTATGCCCTCGGTGTTGGAATGCTTCATATTGTGCTCTTGAGCATACCCTTCTTCAGTGTACCTGTGGTGTGGACTCTCACTAATGTTATACACAATTTTGTAAGTCATTTTTCTTCTCATGAATTCATTTGTTGACCCCATTTTGAGTGTTTTTATTACCTATTATTACTTGGGCCGGGACGATACCTGTATCGCGATTAAAACACGAAACAGACCAAACTTTTGATCCTTTAAAAACCTGCTGTATGTAAAATATTGTGTGCAAAAGCTTGGAAAATAAATCAATGTGACTCTGGATGACAACATAATGATGTTTGTTTCCAACATTAGGGCTGTTTTCCTAAAGAAGTTAAATCTGCTTTGTTTTGTTTCCTGCCACGATACTAACGAGTGTCGCGGTATCGTCCCGGCCCTAATTATTACCAGTTTGTCCTTCTTACTTACAGCCATATCATGGCAAAAAAAAAAAAAAATTGGTGCCTAGACAATTGCTGCTTCCTCAATGCACTGGTGCCTCATTGTTCTTAGTGGAATCACTTTAAAGGAACAAGGTCACTGGCATGTCATCACTCACTAAGTTTAGCTGTTGTCCCCATATTGTATGTGAAGTCTTCTGCATCACAGTGATCAGGAAGGCCATTAAAAGGGGACCACAATATCCTGCGATTTTAGTTAAGCAGCTTATTATTTCCTGTATCTTTTGTTGCTTGCCAGCAAGTACTAGTTCAGCTGGTAAATCAAGAACATTTTCAGAGACATTGTTATTAGAATGTAGCATTCTCATTCAAATGACCTCTTGTCCTCAGTGCCAGGTGTTGTAAAGAAACTAAGGAAGCGAATACCCAGAACGTACTAACATAAATACAGTTCAGGTTCTATCACAGCTCTGTCCATTACATTTGGACATTTTAGTAATTTAGCAGACTTTTTTTTCTCTTCTCCGTACTGGTCCCCCATGGGAATCGAACCCACAACCCTGGCGTTTGCAAGCGCTACACTCTACCAACTGAGCCACACGGGACCATGGAAAGATAAAGATGAATTCCCTTTTATCAAAAGAAAAAGACACATAGCTGTGCTACCACATCTACCCTCAGTCCCTGGCAGCATTTGCTACTTTAAGATTTGTTTGTCTTGTCTTAGTGGACTGTCTCTCACCATCGAGACTTGGACTCATTCCCTGTATGTATGTATGTATGTATGTATGTATGTATGTATGTCTGTCTTCCAGGGGATGTATGTCTTCATGCATGCAGTGAAAGGCACTCCTTTTGAGACCCCAGACCAAGGCAAAGCCCGGCTCCTGACACATTGGGAACAGTTGGACTACGGCGTGCAGTTCACATCATCCAGAAAATTCTTCACCATCTCCCCTATCATTTTGTACGTCGCCTTCTGTCATTTAGAACAAGAGGTTACATTTTTTGTCTATTGGCTTTAGATACCCATTTAGCATCCAGTGCAGAAGTAATTGTAAACTGTATGAGGTGGTTTTCTGGACACATTAAGATTAAGCCTAGTCTTGGACTAAAAAGCACTTAAATGGAGATCCTCCATTGAGAATGCGTTTTAGTCCAGGACTAGGCTTAATCTGTGTCTGGGAAAACGGCCCTATAAATGCTAATTGTTGACCATGCTGCATATATTTTTCAATTGACACATTTGCTAACTTTTTTTTTTTTTTTATCCCCCTAGATATTTTCTTGCAAGCTTCTACACAAAGTACGACACAACACACTTTGTCATAAACACTGCCTCCCTTTTGAGCGTGCTGATCCCCAAATTGCCACAACTACACGGAGTCCGAATCTTTGGTATCAATAAGTATTAATCCGAGTGTTAAGAGGGTCAGTGGTGTGTGACCAACTCTCAAAGGAGCTATTGCCTCATAGCAAGATGAATAGTTAACCCTATGTATTCTGTACCACTGGAGTGTGTACTAAGCAGTTTTGTACAGTTTGTGCAATTGTCACTCATTGTTTAGATATGTCAGGTTAAACTGTAGTGGGAGAATTAGAGAAGAGAATGCCATGTGCATTACTAACTTAAGTAAATATTTAATGTTGTATTTTTTTGACCTGCATAGACCTGGGCTGGCCCAGGTTTCAAAGATGGGGCCTTTTTTTGTTCTGTTCCGTTTATTGTTGTTTGCCCTCACTTCACACAGCGTTCCTTGTCACAATGTATTTTTCTGTTCTTAACCGGAAGCCTTGAAAATACCAGATGTATTTTTAAAGATAATTTCTTCATAATAGTAAGGACCTATGGTTCATTGTTCATTGACACACTCTTAATTTTTCGATGGGTGTCAATGTTCGCATTACTGAAAAAAAATGGGGCCTTAGAACCGTTGCGTAAAATTTACACTAAATATCTGCGTGCGCCATTTCTGAAGACTGTACACGCACAAAAATATTGAGATTTATAAACTTGGCACATGCCAATCATACGCATGTTTCCCCTTATAAATCAGACCTTTCGTAAAACTGTGCGCATGAACAAGCATTATAACTCCACCTGAAACGCCTATCATTCACCTTTTATGGTGACAATAACGCCCTTATTTACTTTGGAAGTATTGGAATTACGCAAAGACCATATCTAGAAATGGTGAACTTTATCAAATGTTTTTGGAGGTGTTGGCAGAATGTTTTCTTTTGCAGTTACAGTTGCTATAGGCTATCTGACCGTTGCTAATTGTCGTGGACCTGTAAACAGATTTCTCTAGTAGATATTTCATTTACAGTGCATTCGGAAAGTACTCAGACCCCTTGACTTTTTCCACATTTTGTTACGTTACAGCCTTATTCTAAAATAGAGTAAATAGTTTTTTCAGTCTACACACACTACCCCATAATGACAAAGAAAAAACTGGTTTTTAGAAATGTTTGCAAATGAATAAAAAATAAACTGAAACATCACATTTACACAGTACCTGTCAAAAGTTGACACACCTACTCATTCAAGGGTTTTTATTTGTTTTTACCATTTTCTACTTTGTAGAATAATAGTGAAGCCATCAAAACTATGAAATAGCACATATGATATCATGTAGTAACCAAAGAAAGTGTTAAACAAATTAAAAAATGTTTTATATTTGAGATTCTTCAAAGTAGCCACCCTTTGCCTTGATGACAGCTTTGCACACTCTTGGCATTCTCTCAACCAGCTTCACCTGGCATGCTTTTACAGCAGTCTTGAAGGAGTTCCCACATATGCTGAGCACTTGTTGGCTGCTTTTCCTTAACTCTGCGGTCCGACTCATCCCAAACCATCTCAATTGGGTTGAGGTCGGGGGATTGTGGAGGCCATGTCATCTGATGCAGCACCATCACCCTCCTCCTTAGTAAAATAGCCCTTTCACAGCCTAGACAAAATTCCACCGGTCTAATGTCCATTGCTCGTGTTTCTTGCCCCAAGCAAGTCTCTTCTTCTTATTGGTGTCCTTTAGTAGTGGTTTCTTTGCAGCAATTTGACCATGAAGGCCTGATTTACACAGTCCCCTCTGAACAGCTGATGTTGAGACGTGTCTGTGACTTGAACTCTGAAGCATTTATTTGGGCTGCAATTTCTGAGGCTGGTAACTCTAATGAACTTATCCTCTGCAGCAGAGGTAACTGTAACGTAACAAAATGTGGAAAAAGTCAAGGGGTCTGAATACTTTCCAAATGCACTGTAAATGAAATATCTACTTGAGAAATTTGACATTACAGTATTCAGACGTAGCCTACAAACGTCAATGGAAAAAGGTGAACCCTCTGATTTTCCTTTAAACTGCACTTCAGAACGAATCACAGAGCAAAATACTTAAAATAGCTTATCTATTTACTAATGTGAAGTGGGTCCAATTAAATGAGAGATGGGATGAATGGTAGCCTATCCCAACTTGTAGGCCTAAAGGCTATTTCGCGAGTATGAAACCATCAGTCAGAAAAGGTGAGGAATTTTATTCTGCAATGATCATGGAATTGAAATAAATAATAGAAAATAGAAATCTATTTCTATAATTATTTTAAAATTCAAAGATCAAAAATTGATTTTCGCTCTTTTCACTAATGGCAAATGATTTCATCTTAATATATTTAGCTAGGCCTACCTGCACAAGGCCACTACTAGTCTACTTTTGCCTTCTTACGATGCAATACTTCAACCACTAGAAACTGTGCATACGCCTGGTCTAAAGCAGGGGTGCCGAACTAATGTTATTTCCTTGCCATCAAAATGTGCAAAAAAATAGTCCTATATTCATCATTTTGGGATTTTTCAATGCTCCCTAACTGTCTTGTGATTTACTAGCGAGCTGGACAGTCAATAAACTGTATGACTGTAGGTCCATTGACTGCACAGTGATTAGGGAGCTGGACAGTCAAACTGTATAATAGTGTGGTCCTCTGTAGCTCAATTGGTAGAGCATGGCGCTTGTAACACCAGGGTAGTGGGTTCGATCCCCGGGACCACCCATACGTAAAAATGTATGCACACATGACTATGTCGCTTTGGATAAAAGCGTCTGCTAAATGGCTTATTATTATAAATATAGGTCCATTATAATTTATACGGTTTAGATTTGGTTTATCATTTTAAAGTATGAGTGTTTTTTGTTTTTGTTTTTTACTCAAACCAGCTCCGTGGGTTATATGTTTGACACCCCTGGTCTAAAGTTTGTGGGAGGATAAGCACATTCTCACTTCAGTTTTTATTAATGGCAACTTTAGTGTGAATACTGGCGCACGCATGTTTGGGGCATATTTTGTGCGTATGCAACACTTATGAGGCCCCTGAAGAATATGAAATACTAATTTTGCATGATTTCCTTTGTATATGAATCATTTCTCATTGTTACTCAATCATATAGGGCAGGCATTTTTGCAGTGTAAATAGTTTTTCTGTACAGGTTCACGTCTTGATTCTTATGTGAAGATCAGATGATTTGTCATAAGATGTTAAGTGTTTTCAGATAATTGTTTACTGAGACAGGTCTATGGTATGCCTATGTTCCTACACAACTGCCAAAATAAAGGAAACACTTGAGTAAATGAGGGATACAAAGTATATTGAAAGCAGGTGCTTCTGCACAGGTGAGGTTCCTGAGTTAATTAAGCAATTAACATCTCATCATGCTTAAGGTCATATAAAATGCCCAGTTGCCCATTATTTCAGCTACCATGGCTAGAAGAGATCAGCGACTTTGAAAGAGGGGTCTCAAAGGAGCATAGGTGGTTTAAAGTATGTGTGTCTCACCAGCGCTCAACTCAATTGAACACTTATGGGAGAGTCTGGAGTGGCGCCTTGAGACAGCATTTTCCACCACCAAAACACCAAATTATGGAATTTCTCGGGAAGAATGGCGTCACATCCCTCTAATAAAGTTCCAGACACCGGAAGTGGCTTCTCAATCCTCGTTACCTGTGGTGATATTAAATATTAGCGATATTACTGTGCAATGTAGATGTTATATTTACACCTGAGATTGCATAACAATTCGTATGTTGATGTAGTGTCCATCGGTTATGAATGTTTCAAACTGTTGAAGTTGTGCTTTTATGTCAGTTCCTGGTTTCAAAGGGCATCAAAAACAACACTAACCATGAGCCTTTGCGTTTCTGCCGCCACAGAAACAGACCCTGGGTCTGTTCTAACGCGACTAATGTCGGTTAATCCAGAGGTAAAACCTCACGTAGTTTGGACAACTGCGTGATCTGCCCACGGGAGAGTATAATGCGACAAACAAATTACGTTCCTGTTATTATGCTATCGAGTGCCATGTGTTTGCTAACAGATCTCATGGTTTATTTTAGTGCTGTGTATGGCAACTCAGTTAACAGAAATTGAAACGCAACACCTCGCCCAACAGGCATTTTTTCTCTCCAAATTTCCAGTGGTCATGTGAATTTTATCTGCTCCGATTAGATGATACAGACCGCAATGCTGTATGGGATGAGTAGTTTGTTAGCCCCCTAACTCTGGTATGTACACAGTCTTGTACCCTTGACTTTTCATATCACTTTTTTTTTTTTTAAGCGCTTTCTAATCTTTTGAACTAATTGTCCACCCCGGAGATTTTTGAACCTATTCCACTTGACCAGCACTTTTTGAAATTAGCATGCTAAAAATAAGTTGCTGTGTCAGTTCCGGAACCATAACAATTTACACTTACATTTTAGTCATTTAGCAGAGACTTAGTTAGTGAGTGCATACATTTTGTATTTTTTTCATACTGGGCCCCCGTGGGAATCGAACCCACAACCCTGGCGTTGCAAGCGCCATGCTCTACCAACTGAGCTACACGGGGCTGTGGAAAGAGCCCTATTGAAGCTGTTCCTGCTGCTCATGATGTCCCAACGACCTTTTAAGAGACACCCTGTGTTTCCTTTATTTTGGCAGTTACCGGTATATTCATGTAGCTGTACTTGTTTAGGATATGAATATCTCCTGGAGGCTACTACCAAGGCAGCTAGTCCTGTTTTTTCCACGGTATTCTCTGAGCTTTGTCAGCCCTTGTACCTAACATCATTAAAACATTTATGCCCTTAAAGCAGCATGTATGTCTTAACTGGCTGAAATGGATGGGAACCATATTGACATGCACGGAGGATGAGCGTAAAACAAGCTGTGAATGCTTGATGTCACAGTGTCAAAAACTTTATTGCATTTAATTTGACACAGTAACAAAGTAAAACAATGTTTATGTAATCCAAAATCTTCCAGAAGTAAAATTATGTAATTGTCACACTTTGATCTAGTCTCGTTCATCAACCGCTTGTACCTAGTAGTCTGACACGAGACTAATCCAATTATAAAGGTCTAGCATTCCTGTAACAATTATGTGAACCTTTAAGAATTCATTTTGATATAGGGTACTGGCCTGTTAAGGTCTTCACACTGTTGGCCCAAGACTCCTTTGAAAACTTCAAAGCGGTGATTCAGATCTTTTTGAGCATGGATTTTATATTTTGTCCCAAATGCCCCATCGGTAGAGGCTGTTCCATAGAAGACTCTGCCTATCCTAGAATGGACTAGCGCCATGGCACACATAACACAAGGCTCTCGAGTAACATACAGGTCGTACCCGGTGCAGATGTATGGCTGACCGCTCTCCTCTGCACTATCCCCGTCCTGCACGACCCCACAGGTTGTCATGGTGCTGGCACCCTGTTTTTGAGAGGGTGAGGAATAGGGCAAAACAGACTGGCATGCAGGGTACTTATCATATGTGTAGGCCCCACCACCCTGCCCACGTGCCACAAGGTCAATGCAGACCATGATGGCGTGATGAAGTGGGTGACCGCCTTTCCGGCAGTCATGTCCCACAGCGAGGATCCTCTCTGCCTCTGGGTCAACGACTGCAGCCCCCACAGCCTCCATGCCACTCTGCTGCCCCGCTCTGGCTGCAGCCACAGCAGCCATCATGTACTCCTGCATCTTCGCTTTCTGAGAGGAGGTGAACAGCTGGCCCTTCAGGGCCACAGTCACCTGTTTGTCCTCGTGAAAGGAGGTGGGCCAGTGTTTGCTGGCCTGCTCAAACTGAGGTCTGGTCAAAGGAGGGCATGCTGGTATCTTGACCAGGAAAGGGTCCCCTAGACCTTCACAGTTTAATCTACCTGAGGACGACAGATCAGATATGTGCATGTCCTTACTGTGGTCAATGACTGGTGCATCACTGGCTAGGCATACA